AGTGACTGGCATTCCATAATTATATGTGGGCATTATTAGGATGTGTTCATTATTTTGAATGATTTAAATAACCATTTTAAATGTCCAATAAACAAACTAAACAAATAAAATAGAACTTTAAATCGTCTAAATCAAATGACATTTTGATTTAGAATGCATTATAGGCGACTGCTAGTTTTTGAAGAAGCAGCTCTGAAGTAGTAGTCACCCATGTGCAGAGGAATATAGTTTCCTTCTGCATAGATATTTTTAATACAACTGTTGGACACACAATCTGTTGGAAGCACAAGCCATAATATCATTTTCTTGATCATTCTCTTTATTAGTTGTAGAATCAGATCCACCACATCATGCTGAATAATTTCCAGAGGACCCTTCATTGGAGGGTAATCCTACTTTTCCATTTCTTTCATCTACGAGACTCTGAATATGTTCTTTTTCTTAAGTAACCAGTTATGCCTCTATCGTGCATTTCGAACATTCAATTCACACTCTTTTCTTGCTGGTATTATGAGATGATATCGACATGTAATTCCAAGCCTTCCAGAATATTGATAGATTTGCATTCATGTGCTGAAAGTGCTTAAAAATTTTTCCCTACGCCCTTTGGAAGTTTTCTAGTTCTCATTCTAGAATTATCTGATGCTGCTTGGCAAAGTGAGGAACATACGGCTCAACAACCAAAGCACCATCCACAACTTATTTTTCCTTAGTAATGAACTACTCTACATTGTTGCAGACGTCCTCTAGCAAATAATCTGACAATCTGTACTCATGTATGACCTCAATATTTGCATTCACGAGCTCTAAGATTTATACCAAGCTCATCATTATGCTCAACATGGTCCTTCGTATATCATCTCGAGTTTGTTTAAGTCCATATCAAAGTTGATTATTGATCCTTGTTCAATGTATCTATAGTTTAGTATAACATTTATGTCATTTTGGAAGGTGAAAATCAACTACATATTCGACAGTTTCCTGTAAAAATACAGTTAGAATGTTAGTGTGCTGAGTTGATTGAACAAAATAGTTATTAAAATTTTTAAAATTTATTTAGTGAATTTTATTTCATTTATCATATTATATTTATTTTAGAACATTTAGAGAAATAATAAATCAGAATAGAAGAAATATCCTAAGCTCCAAGTAAGAGATTTTGAAAATGACGGAATCATGAATTTTTTTTGAAACTTGTGAAATTTACACTTTTTATTTCCTTATTCCATTTTTGTTGAAATTTTCTTTTATTTGGACCCAACTACAAACATATATTACATTGATGTTTTGAAAGAATAATATTTCGCTTCTAAAATTTATCCTTTAAGAGCTTCGCAATGTATAATACTTCTTCAAGTATCTTCCATTGATCAAGAGCATATGTCTTTCTCCTTGACAATCAATAAGTTGGTAGGATCCTCCGGAGTATAGTTTCTTTGCAACGAAAAGTCCTCCCCAAGTTGTTCCAAATTTGCCTCCAATCATGTGATGTGAAAGAATATATATTTGTAGCACAAGTACTAACTCATCAACTTGGAACATTCTCAGAAGAGCTAATTTGTTGTGGACTTATATCAACTTTTTTGATATAACTCCATACTCCGTTTAGCCCTCAGACATTTGCCTTCCAAGTTGTTAAGTTCTTCGAGATGGATCTTTACATTTTCTTCAGTTGTTCTTTTGTTGGTAACAATAACTTTGGCTAATGGCATCTACATTGAGAGGAAGAATGGCCTTAGACTCATTTACCAGAGCATATGGAGTAGAATGTGTTGTAGTTTTGTATGTTGTTCTATTGGCCAACAGAGCTTATGAAAACTAATTGTGTCACTATTCCTTGTTATCAGTTATAGTCTTTTTTAAAAGTTTTAACCAATATCTTTTTGAAGGCTTCTACTAGACCATTAGCTTTCGGGTAGTGGATCATCGAGTACCTCAATCTATCTGATGTCTTCTGATGATGTAGTTGCTCTTTGTATTCTTGAAGGTGGCAATGTTATTTGAGATTGTCCTTTGAGGAACACTAAATATGTAGATAATTTGATTATTTAAGGACAATAAGAAATGGTTAAGTTTGATTTTCTTTAGTGGTATGGCCTCTGCATACTAAGTAATTGGAAAAAGCTAGAATGAACTGATGATCTTTGGAAGATGGAGAATCTATGTGACCCACTATAGCTATGCCCCAACACTTGAACAAACATGAAGCAATTGTTGGATGTAGTATCTTTAGAGGTTAATGTAGAACCATTTAGTGAACTTGACATTGGTGACACTTCTTGGCTCTCTTCATACAATATGTCATCATTGCTAGCTAATAGTTTTGCCATCTTTTGATATTCATCTTCATGTTCAGCCCTGACTGGTGAAAACCATACAAAAATGAGTGACTGTTTTTGGTTCATTTTGAACTTAGGGTCACCAGCCTGTCTGATTGTCGTCTTAATATTATCCTTTCCATACAGCCTTCTTTCTTGGATCATCAAAATAACTTAGAGAAGAAGAGAGATTAGAAAGATAGAAGATAAGAAGAGATCAGACAAACAAATTAAGTTAAAAAAGAGTATGGAGAACATATGTGAGGCCATCTTCATGAGATAAGTCAAAAGTGTATGTCCAAAACAAGATCAGATAAAAACAATACCTTGAAACCAAATACACAAATAAGTCCCCTTCGTAAGCAACCCATATAACTAGAAAGCCAATATTATAAATTTTATTTCAGAGTTAAGAGCAACTCCTAAAGGAACATATCCCTTGGGTTAATTACATTTTGGGGGATACCCAAATAACTCCCGAAAGTAGGAATCCTGCTTACAGTTAGTGAAAATTAAGGAAAGAGGTATGTCAAAGGAACACAATTATCTTAATGAGGAACATCCCATTTCTTTTAAAAACTGTACCGAACCAGAGGTGGAGGGTGAATCTCTCACAACTAATGGATGGCGACCCGTTGACAAATGTGGCCTAGGAAATAATTGGGTCGTCTCATCAGAAACATCCATATGCTTCCAAACCTACTGGGTTATAATGGCAGAGGGTGAATCAATGTATCTAAAACAGGCAATAGCTTAATAACAATCGAGGCTGACAAAATGACATCAATGATATATCAAAGGGAATACTGGGCTTAAAGGGTTATTAATAGAATAATAGGAAA